GGGCGCAGCGGACCCCCCCTGGCTCCCCGCTGCTCCCCTCAGCCCTGGGTCTCAGTGCAGCCGTCTGTCCTGCTCCCTGCTCTGGCTCTGGGGGGTCCCCTCAGTCCTGCATCTGTGTCCTGCACCCCAGCTTTTGTTCAGGGAATTCTGGAGTCATTGGGGGCGCCCTGGTGGCCTGGGGGTCCCCCTCAGGCGGTCAGTGCTGCAGCCTGAGGCCAGGGACGGTCCTCGGGGCGCAGCAGACCCCTCCGGTCTCCCCGCTGCTCCCCTCCGCCGTGTGTCTCAGTGCATCCGTCTGTCCTGCTCCCCGCTCTGGCTCTGGGGGGTCCTCTCGCCCCTGCATCTCAGTCCTGCACCCCAGCTTTGTTCAGGGACTTCTGGAGTAGTTGGGGGCGCCCTGGTGGCCTGGGGGTCCCCCTCAGGCGGTCAGTGCTGCAGCCTGAGGCCAGGGAGGGACCTCAGGGCGCAGCAGCTCCCCGCTCTGGCTCTGGGGGGTCCCCTCACCCCCGCATCTCTGTCCTGCACCCCAGCTCTCGGATGCATGAACAACTACATCTGTAAAATAATTGGGGGGTCTCCCTCGTGGTGCAGGGCTGAGTCTGAGCACGAGTGCGCTCCCCACTGGCCAGGGAGGGACCCCAGGGCGCTCCCCGCTGCCCCCTGCCCTGGTCCTCCCTCCCTGAGCCCAGCAAGGGCACCCCAGAGACCGCGCTCAAGTCTCTTTATCGTGGGAGTCTGCACCCCGCGGCCACAGAGACGCTCGGGGTGGCCACGCTCATCTGTGTGCACCCCGCGGGGAACATCACATCCAGAGATAAGCGGGGGCCCCCCGTACCCCGCATGGTTACCGGGTCAGAGAATGACAGACCCGAGCACCGTCTAGGAACTGCCTCTCGGGGTTCATCCCCGCCCAGAGTGCCCGAGACCCCCCAAAGCCCGTGGCACAGAACCACACTCTTGTTTTTTTGCGAAAAAAGGTTCAGCTGTTTGCACCCCGGAAACAGGAAGCTTCCTCCACCCCCAGCACCCGGGGATGGGGCCAGCGCAGGGGAGACCTGTCCCTGTGCCCGTCTTCTGAACCCCACTTCCAATCAGTGGGTGGCAGCTAAGTCCACAGGGCCCCCCCGGGGGGGCCCCAGACCTTCCTGCCCCCCACCCGAGGCCGGGGACCTCGGAACCCACGGGGGCCTCACCAAGGGCTTTCAAAGCCCCCCCAGACACAACGGCAGCTGGGGGCACCCCGGGGCGCCCCCAAACCACACGTGTCCCCCACGCCGCCCACCGGACGCACCTGCTGGGGTGGCCGTGACCCCCTCGCCGCCGAGCTGAGCCACGGGGCGACGCCCCCGGGTCCGTGGGGGCCGTTAGTGTTTCAGGAAGCGGCCGTGAGTTAGTGGGGTGCAGGGGGCGCGGGGGGCTCACCAGACTGCTTGAAGCACAGCTTCTTCTTCTGGTAGGCGATGAAGCTGGACACGGCGCCGACCACGGCCACCACCACGCTCCCGATGATGCCCGACAGCACCCCGGGGGAGTCGGCTGGGGGGCGACACGGCGCGTGAGCACCCCAGGAAGCGGCTGGGGCGTCCCCGAACCCCCGGCCCGTGCTGGGGCTCGGCCACGGTGCAGCCGCTCCCTCGGGGGTGTGCGGGCTCCCCAGGGGTCTCGGTCAGAAAGGGGGTGCGACGTGAACAAGAAGGGGAGCGGAAGGCAGAGCTCGAGGCAGGGTGCTTGGGGAGCCCCAACGTGGGCTCTCATCCTGCTACAAGATGGAAGGGGCTGGCTGCACCCCCGTTCCTGGCCAGGCACCCCCGTTCCTGGCCGGGCACCCCTGATCTTGGCCGGCGCCCCCATTCCTGATGGGGCACCCCTGTTCCTGATGGGGCACCCCTGTTGTGGGTGGGGCACTTCCATTCCCAGTGGGGCACCCCCATTCCCGGCCAGGCACCCCGGTTCCTGGCCGGGCACCCCGGTTCCTGGCCGGGGAACGCCCGTTCCTGTTGGGGCCCCTGTGTTCCTGGCCGGACACCCCTATTCCTGGCCAGGCACCCCTTATCTTGGCCGGCACCCCATTCCTGATGGGGCACCCCCGTTCCTGACGGGTCACCCTTGTTCCTAACAGGGCACCCCTGATCTTGGC